AACATTTTAACCCTACAGCCCCTAGGAACCACAAAGACTATCACAGAGGCATCTGCACTGGACAGGGGCAGGGAGATGGGTTGGGCAGAGATCTGAGACCCAACTTCAGGGATGGACTACCAGAGCAGAATGAGAGGGAGCCTGGGAGGGGGCTCAGGACTGGGAGTGGGAAGGAGAGGGGCAGAAGTGCCACTGGACCCTCTGGTGGAGCAGCAGAGAGGCCGGGAACTCCCCCAGGTTGGGGACAATGGCTGGAAGGGCAGAGCTGTAAGAGGGACATGGGGTTCAGCTGGCCAGATTCCCAGCCAAGGAGCACCAATCAGGAATCCTTCCTGCCCTAGCACAGGCTTTTTTTTGGGGGGGGGGTTCTATCTGGGTGGCAGAAGGAGGGACAAGAGGCCCTGGGGTATCCCTGCCCCTCCCTCCAAATTCCCCTAGGGAAAAGATGATTGGCTCTGCCCCTCCCAGCCCCAGCCTGTCTTGCTCTGCTACCTAAGCAGCTTTCGCTAATAGCATCAAGGGAGGTCTCAAGACTAACCACTCTCCACTTGGGGCTGAGATCAAGGGAGAAACCAGAGGATTCCAATTAGATTCCAGACTTGGGAGAAGGTGAGAATGGCATTTTACTTGCTGCTAAAAATAAAATACACCCCCACCCATCTCTGGGTTAACACTGCCGTCCCTCTGATACCCAACCCATCTTGCATGTCTGGACATCACCTGTGTTCACAGGCCCATTCCCACAACTCTATTTCTCTGTCTCATTATCTCTGACTCTCTTTCTCCTGTCTCTATCCTCCACCTCTGTATTTAGAAACAGTCCCATGTTCCCAATGAATCAATCAAGCAGTCTTTAGAAGACTTGGTTGTGTCCAGTCAGTCAGATTATGCAGACCCTCAGAGGGCCCCACAACAAAGTGACTTTCGATGCAAGTTTCTACTTTGCAGAGATGCAGCATTGGTTTTGAACTCTCAACTTTTTTTTTTAACCTGGGTGTGTTCCTGTCCTTCTCATCCTTTGTATTCCACTCCACTTGTATTTCACTTCCATCTGACTGTCTGTCCTATGATCATTTTTATGGCAAAGAGCCCACTTCTTTTGCCTCCTGCCAGCCTCCTCTATCTGCTTGGAAGTTTCATTCTCAACATATCTGCCCCAATTGACTGATTACAGCTGAGCGCCTAGAGTCAGACAGACCTGTTCCCATCTGGCTCCACCACTTGCCCAAGGATCTTATGCAAGTCTCTAAATCATCTGATCCTCAATTTCCTAGGCTTGCAAAACAGAGAAAATAATATTCATCTCAAAGGGTTATTGTGAAACCTTGGGGAAGTAACATATAACAAAAAAAATGTCAAGCTCAGTGCTGGGTGCATGAGAGAGACACAATTCATATTAACTAACCTCTTAAAAAAGGTAAAATCTGTTTTGGGCATTTCCTTTGGCTCCAAGTCCCAGCTTAAGGATTGCTCCCTATGGTTATCATCATCATTTCTTGCTTCTATTAAATAATGACCGAAAACCTACATGTGTTGTAACTTGTGTTGGTAAGGGGATTAATCATATTATTAGTAAGCAGGATGATGGTGATGACAATAATAATTGCTTGCTACTCTAACCCTTCAAGAAACACCAAGTGCTTAAGAGTGGCCACTGATGTTTCAAGATTGGGTTATGATCCTTTTTGATGTATAGCTCTCAGGACTTGTCCTCTTAGGACTGTAGGGGCTGTGCAGAGCCTGGTAGAGCTGCCCCAAGCTTTGTACAATTAGCTCACAGCACAAGAGGGAGGAAGCTGGGAGTTGGGAAACTGGGACAGAGTGGGACTGGCTACCTCCATCAGCCTCTGCAGAATCACCAGGAATGTGGGTTAAAATAACGCACAAGGAATTAAGGTTAAACACCAACAGTAATTCTTTGGCAAGAAGGTAGAACTAAAAACTGCTCTTCTCTGAGGGTCCCCATGGTTGGGCAGCTCCAAATCCCCAGCAGAAAAGAAAGGACTTAAGGGGAGACGGTTGACAAAGCTTTCCAGCAGTGAAGATTTCAACCTCCAGAACCAGCAAGATCCTCAGAGACTTGAGATTACTGGAGGGACTGTCACACATGCCAGCCAGGCCAGAGAGGGCTGTGGCACTCAGGTACTCAGGAAACCTAGAGGTTGACCCACTTTGGTTCTGTATTTTGGGTTTTAGTCTTTTGGGCACATTGGTAGGCTACCTATGTGGTTGAATATTATAACTTTTTTAAAGATTCTATTTATTTATCTTTAGAGGGGAAGTGAAGGAGAGAGAGAGAGAGAAGTATCAATGCATGGTTGCCTCTTGTGTGTCCCCTGCTGGGAACTGGCCTGCAACCCAGGCATGTGCCCTGACCGGGAATTGAACGGCGATGCTTTGGTTCACAGGCTCACGCTCAATCCACTGTGCTACACCATCCAGGGCTAAATATTACAATTTTTTAAAAATATACACACTTTTAATTTTTTTATTAATTGATCTTAGAGAGAAAGGAAGAGAGAGAGTGAGAGAAACATCAATTCGTTGTTCCACTTACACATACATTGGTTGATTCTTGTATGTGCCCTGAATGTGGGTTGAACCTACAACCCTGGTGTACTGGGACAATGCTCTAAACTGAGCTACCCAGCCAGGCCTTGAATGTTATAAATCTTGATTTTAGGTCTTGCTTTCCACTTTTTCACTTAGAGGTGTATGACCTTAGAGAAGTCACTCCACCCCTTTGAGCACTATCCCATCTGATACTTTGTGTGAAGTTAAGGGCAGAGTTTCTCAGCACAGTGCTGGAGCACAGAGTGTCTGCTTCCAGGTGGATTATCATTCTCTTTTTTGCCACACCCTAAATCTTTGCTGAGGTCTCAAATCTTCCAGACCAGGAAATATGATCAGATCCAGCAGGCACTGGGGCAGCCATAGAACTTGGTCAACTTCCTCCAATGAAGAGTTTTCCCTAGAAATCTCTCACATCTACGACCCCCATTTCCCAACCAATTTTTTTAAGGTGAGGTAGAGGAGGTTAGACTTCCCAAAGAATGGGGTGGAACCTCCCAAAGGACAGGGCAGGAACCAAGGGTGGGAGAAGAGTGAGGACATCTGCTTCAGGAGAGGAAAGCAAAGAAAAATGAGGATTCCAGAATGTCAGCTGTCATTTTAGAGACAGAGGGATGTGTAGAAAACCTATTCATCCAGATTCAGAGTAGCATTGACTTAACTATGGCCCTGTCTAATTTCCAGAGATGCTCTCTGCTCAGGCTAGGCTGGGGATCCCCAGAAGCACCTGCCCCATCTCCCATTCCTCTTGAGCTGTCAGTATGTCAGTTGACCTCCATGAAGCCAAGCATTCACTGGGGAAGGGAGAGTAAAAGACTACATGACCTCTTGGTGTGGGGTTGGGGAAAGCAGGGAGGGTCTTACCACCTGCTGTGCCTGGGATTTCTTCATGTTCTAACACCCACAGTTCCCTTTTGCTATATTCTTGCTATTCAAAGTAAGGTCCACAGACCAGTAGCACTGGTATCACCTAGGAGCTTGTTAGAAATGCAGAATCTCAGGTTCCACCTAGTTCTGCTGAATCAGAATCTGTAAAGAGATTCTCAGGTGATCTTTATGTACCCTAGAGTTTGAGTAGCACTCACTACTACAAATAATTTTTTTTGAGTCTTGAAGCAACACTTTTAAAAATGAGAAATAACAAAGTGCTGTGGATTAGGGGTAGGGGTATGGTGGCTAAACACCATGAGTCAGTCACTTTCCCTCTCTGAACCTGGTCTGGGGAGTGAGGCAGCTACTCTCACCAAGTCCTCACACACCCTCCAGACCTTCCCACCTAATAAGTTCTAGTTGAGAACAGCACCCACATCATACCCACTGTATCAGAGACAGTAACCCAGCACCCATCCCCTATTTACACATAGTCCTTACATCCAGGTAACTCCTTGGGCCCACCCCCAGGGGCAGGCTGCACCTTGCCATTCCCATGGCAACCTCTGCCGTCCCTCCTCTTGTTTATCATCTTCTCATCCACTAATGACAGAGGATGCCAGTCTTCTGCATCAGCCTTAATTCCATCCAGAGGCTTTGGGACTTAAAACATTTCCTCCCTTCGCCTACATCACATTGGGGCTCATTCCACACTCTTCTCCCCACCTCACTGCCACCCTACCACCTATGCCAATTTAGGAATCAATAAGATCCCTTCTTCCTTGTCCATGTCCATCAATTCAACAAATATTTACAGCACACTTGCAGGTACAAGGCCCTGGGCTAGTGTGGGCTCTGGGGAGCCAGCAGTGAACAAGAGAGCTAGGGTTCCTGACCTCATGAAGTTGACACTCTAAGGGAGAAGACAGGTGTTAAACACACAGTGATACCATTGATATATTCAGTACCATTTATTGATTGTATCAACAATTGTTTCTTGAACACCTACAATGTGCCAGACACTCTGCTAGGCACTCAAGATTCATCAGTGAAAAAACACAAAAATCCTTTTCTTCTCAAATGTAAAATTGTTTTAAGTATATTGGAAGTTTGGGTTCTTTACATCTGCCACCTGCTCCCACTCAAGACTTAAAAAGAGCCATGATTAATTACATTTTGTCTTGTCTTATCTTGGGAAAAACTCCAATCCTGTTAAGCCCTGAGAAGAAATATCCTCTGTCTAAATTCTCCAGCAGGGGCAGGATATCATGCCCTTTGCATTCCTCTCCATCTATATAAGTGATCTAGTGTCCTGGATCAACTCCTGACCAGTGAGGAGGTCCCCAGAGGAGGCAGGACCCTGCCAGGGTTCTGGGGAGCTTCCTGCCCCAGACCTTGCTTCCCTGCCTTGGTCTCCCTTCTCTCCCTTCATCTCTTCCCTCTTATCTTCTTCCTTGTTTACCTCCCTCCCTCTTTCACCTCCATCTCCCTTACCTTCTTTCCCTTCCTCCAAGTAGTGGCCATTTCTCCTCAAGGCCCAAACACAGTCCTTGCTCCCAGACTGGAACATGCACCACAGCTGCTTGGCAGAAGGCGTCCCCAGAGTTGCAGGCAACTCCTGGATCTCCGGTGAGCCTCTGCCAGGTCTCCCACCCAAGCTCCAGCAACGATGCTGGAGGCACTCACACTCCCCTCTCTGCCCCAAACTTGGCCTTCCCCAACTGGGCCTACAAAGTTGAGTCATCCCCAGGCTCCCGGCAGATCCAGCTGTGGCACTTCACCTTGGAGCTGCTGCAGAAGGATGAGTTCCACCATGTCATAATTTGGCAGCAGGGAGAGTACGGGGAGTTTGTCATTGAGGATCCAGATGAGGTGGCTCGCCTCCGGGGCCACAGGAAGTGCAAACCACAGATGAATTATGACAAGCTGAGCTGGGCCCTCAGGTGAGAGGAGGCAGCCCAAGTGGCCAGACAGGGCAGAGTTCAAAGAAAAGGGCTGCTGTTTCTGGCACCCTGTCTGATTCCTGCCCCTTTAAGGCTTGGGAAATGTTCTTGAGTGTGGTCAGATGCCTTGTGCTTATCCAGAAAAAGCTCCGGGTTAGCCTTGCTGGCCTGAAGAGGGGGACATAGCTGGGTCAATGGCTATACTCTGCCCTCTGGGCCAACTCTCCATTCTCATCCTTGGGATCTTCAGACATTACTACAACAAAAAGATCCTGCACAAGACCAAAGCTAAAAGGTTCACACACAAGTTCAACTTCAGCAAGCTCATCATAGTCAACTATCCTCTAAGGGAGGTTCAGGCACCACCAGCCCCCAACCTACTGCTGGGGGGCCCTGTCTTGTTTTGGCCAGCCATGGTGCCCATGGGTATGCAGAGTGAGGCGGAGTGAGGTAGGTATGAAGGCAGCCCCTAGAACTCAGGCTCCACCAGACTCCTAGCAGAACCCCAGCCTTCCTTTCTGCCTCAGGGATCCACCAGCTTCCAATGTCCTACTCCCCCTGTATCATAGTCACTGAGTATCTCAGGAGCAGGGTTGATACTCTAAATCTTCTAAGATACTCCAATATTCCTGTTGCTAAACATCATTCCTTTAGGAGTGAATCACAGGGAAGGAAGTAGGGATATCAGCCAAGGGTCCAGGGTGTGTGGACAGGAGTGATTTAACAACCACGGTCAGAGTATTCCATTATTTTAACAAATGGTTGTTAAACAGTGTGTCCTGGGGAATGTATGCCATGGAGAGCCCATTCTACCCCCACACCTTCTTCTTCTCACTCCACAGCTCCTACCCAGCATGCTGCTCACCCACTGGGCCATGGTAGAGCAAATAGCTAGACAGTGGACCTCCTGCAGGACACCAGAGGCCTCTGAGGATAAGAATGGGAGCAGTAGTGTCTACCATGAGTGCTTGAGAAAGGGGAGGGCCCAGGGGACCTTAACCAGAGAAGGAGAGCACCATTTGGATGAACAAATGGGTGAGGGAGCATGAGACAAGCCTTGCAAGACATTTGGTCCTGGCCAAAACACCCACTCCAAAAGGCCCCTGACATTTGGTCCTGTCCCAAATGCCCATGGAGACATTCGATCCACCCAGACCCATCTCCCTAACCCATGTGCCATGACCAACTGGGCCACTGAGGCAAGAAAGGTTATTGGCAATACAGCCACAACACTATTATTAGACTGAGAAAACATGATAGTATTTTTTATGTATTAACCTGTAAACCAAAAGTAGAAATAAACACTCTGGGTGTTGAACCCAGGGGTATTTTATAAGAGTAAAGGTTTTGGGCAGGACCAAGTTTCAAGGACATTTGGCATGACCAACTGTCTCTGGGGATATTTTGGGAAGGACCAAATGCTTGCTAATTGAGACAAGGGATAATATAAATCGTTTATTCATTCACCAAACATTTCTTTAGCCCCAGCTATTTATTATCTTTGGGGGTTCAGAGATGAAAGATGGCCCTCAAGGTGCTCAGAGACTAGTGGGGGGGGCAGAGGTGGGAATATAGACAGATGCTGAGATCTGGGGAAGCAAATGCTGCTATAGGAATGCAGAGAAGGGAGTTAAAGCTTCCTAGAGGAGGCTGTACCTGAGCAGGTGAAACAGGTGGAGAAAAATGCCCAGGCACAGAATGGCATTTGTAAATCTAAAAGCTGTGAACAAGTGTAGCAAATCTGAAGAACTGCTGGTAGCTTGCCATGACCAGAGGCTGAGTTATGTGATGGTAGTGGAGACAAGGAGGAGGGTGACCCATGAGGCTAGCACAGCCAACAGGTGTCCAGTAACAGATATCTTATGAAGCAATGCTAAGGAGGTTGGACTTTATCATGTGAGCAGGGGGTATCTTGTGAGCAGGGGAAGGAAGAGGTATATTGAGATCTTCATTTTACTAAGATGACTTGGGTTAATTTAGAGTTTGGGTTGAAGAAGGCATGGAGTAATTTTGGGAGGCTTTTGAGGACAATCTATGCTGAAGAGGATGGAACCAGGGCCAAGGAAAGGACCATGGCATGGAGAAGGAAGCCAACTGAAGAAAGATCAGAAAGATGAAGTTCACTCACTCATGCATTCACTTACTCATTTCTTCTTTCAACAGATATTTAATGACCTCCTGTTTAATGTGCTAGGCATTGTCCTAGGGCTGGGAACACCGGCCTGAGTGAGCAAGACTGCTTTTATAGAGTTTGTAGGCAAGAGGGAGTTTGCAGACACTCAGTTAATATTTTAACAAACTGATATGAAATTATAACTGTGCTCACTGCCGCAGAGAATTTCAGGGAGCAAAGAGCATCTGGGAAGATTTCCTTGACAAAGTGATAGTTGAGCTGAGATCTAAAATGTAAAGAGGCTCCAGCTTAGTTTCGAAGGAAGGAGGAGAGCATGGCAAGCAGAGAGAACGTGTGTGCAAAGGTCCTAGGATAGAAAAAAGGAGCTAGGAGAAGGCAAACATGGCCACGTATAGTGATCTGCAGGGAGAAGGTAGAAATGTATGTAGAGGCCAGCACTTACAGGGCTGTAAGCTAGGAAGTGACAAAGTCAGATTTTTTTATGCAAAAGATCACAAAGACATGGGCTCTCATACAGAAGCCAATGACCCACCCCTTTATTTCTTAGCAGTTTCTTGAAATAAGAACTCTTGGCCTTAGTCCTACCCCTACTGTAGCGGGGGACCCAGAAGTCCCCCCTCTCAGACAATACAGGGGCCTGGTTCTGAGCCCCTGTGAATACAGCTGAGGCTGTGGGCATGGACAGCCCAGGGCCTGCTGGAACTGATCTGGTAGCCTGGAGCCAAATAGCACCTGAACAGTACTCCCTGTTCTTCCGCCCCCACCCACCCCTTCCCAGCTCTGGGAATGCCTTAAGCACAAAGCTCCTCTCTTTGGGAAACTATGAGGGGGGACAACAGAGGGGAGAGTGTTCCCTAGCTTGGAGTGGGTTATTTTGTACCTCCCTGCTCTCTGCAGGTACACACAGCAACTTGCCTGTGCTTGGGCCCTGAGGGTAGGTGTGGATCACCAGAAGACTAGTAGCAGCCAAATGCCTCACTTCTGGATGGTGATTCAGAAAGCTGTGTCAGCCCCTCCCCTCCACCTTCCCTCAGAGTACATGGTGCCAAGAGAAGAATCTGCTTCTGGGCAAAACAGTGCCCAGGACTATTGAGCCAGAGACAAAAGCTGCAGGATTGGTGCTAGGAGGGGGTGGGAAAGAAGCTGGACTATCTCCTCCACATGCCTACTCAGCTGTGGATCTCCTAGGGAGACACAGCCCTGATCTGAGGGGTCAGGGGACACAAACTTCTTGGTGAAAAACAACAGTCTCCACCTCGTGTAAAGACCCAAAGAAAAAGACAGTGGCCCAGGAGAGGGTCCTGTGGCAGAGGTCGCCATACTTTTCCTCACAAAGGATAATTTTTACTATTTTCCCCTTACATAGATCTAACTTCAGAAATATTGTTTCTATTAAATGAATCAGTTACATTTTTATAACTAATTTGTTTTTCCAGTTTTTATCAACAATAGCCCCGTCAATGTGATCACATGGAGGTGATACTTGCTCTTCTAGTTATATGATGTAGCCTAAGAAAAATGTGGGACTAGTGTTAGGTTTATGAAATATAGAAAGTGATGTGAAGTTCTATATAGCCATACCCAGCACCCCAAGCTGGGACCCCCTACGTATGATCCTGGAAAAATAAGGCAGGTTTGGAAGGAATGGAAGAAGGAAAGGCTTCTTGGAGGAGAAGATTTCTGGGACAGAGCTCCCAGGGAAGAGGAGGACTGGGGTTCAGTCCATGTGCACCTGGTCTCTGGCTCCCTGGGCCCCTTCTTACTGATGATGCCACTTGTTCTTAGCTAGGAGAGGGGTTTTTATGGCCTGAGAATTTCAACAACATGTCTGGGATCATGCAACCAGTCCTTTGTCCAGCTAGAGTTAGAGCCCTCTGCTACAGGAAGAGTAAAGAATGGATTTGCTGGGTTATGGCAAAGAATATCTTCAATCATTCAATGCACACATTTTTAATGAGCCCTTAACATGTGCCAGGCTGGGAGGATCCAGAGGAAAATAAAACAGAATGTTCCTATCCCCACAGAGCTGTAAGCACAGAAATGAATACCTGATGCTAGTCAAGCAAGGGCCCTGGAGGAGGGGCACTGGGGGTCATAAGGAGCAATTAGGGCCCCTGCCCAGGCTGGGGTGCTCTCAGGAGGCTGCTCCAAGGAAGTGACATTTACAATGAGACATGAAGCAAAGAAAAAAGGAGGGCACGTGGGAGGAGAGAAAGTTTTCAGCAACAGGAAAAAGAAAAGGGAAATGGGAGAAGAAAGGTGGAGGGGGGCACTCTCTTGACCCTCTTTTTCTCCCTTTCTCCAGGACTTGGCTCTGCCTCCACCCTCTGCCTGCTCCACCCTCGCTGCCATTTGGGGAGCCTCCTAGAGGAGCTGCTCAGTTTTGCCTCCTTCACACCTCCCCTTCTCCCCTTTCTTTCCTATGACTGGACCCACCTCTCAGGTCCCTTGTTGCCCCCTCTCCTCCCATAACAGCAGTTTCCAGGGTCCTCCAAGCCAGACACCCTGCTCCCAGGGCCCATGTGCCCCCCAGCAATAAGCAGCGGGAGAAATGCTGGACTTATGTATAAGTCCTCTGGCTTCTACATTTCCTATACTATTCTTAACCTCTCTCTGTCTATTTTTTTTAAGATCTATCTATCTATCTATCTATCTATCTATCTATCTATCTATACAGAGAGGGGAAGACAAGGAGAAAAAGAGATAGAAACATCAATGTGCAGTTGCCATTCCCATGCCCCCTACTGGGGACCTGGCCTGAAACCCAGGCATATGCCCTGACTGGGAATCAAACCAGTGACCCTTTGGTTCACAGAGCGGCACTCAATCCACTGAGCCACACCAGCCAGGGCCCCTTATCTATTTTATACCTACCAATTTGCTTCTTATTCCCTGTACCTTTTCCTCCATTCTCCCCCTTACCCCTTCCTGCTGATAATTCTCCATGTGATCTCCATTTCTGTAATTCTGTTCCTGTTTCAGTTGTTTGCTTAGTTTGTTTTTGTTTTTTTGTTTTTTTAGGTTCAGTTGTTGATAGTTGTGATTTTGTTGTCATTTTACTCTTCATATTTTAAATCTTTTTCTTTTACTTAAACAAGTCCCCTCAACATTTCATAGAATAAGAACTTAGTGATGATGAACTCCTTGAACTTGACCTTATCTGGGAAGCACTTTATCTGCCTTTCCATTCTAAATGATAGCTTTGCTGGATAGAGTCACCTTGGATGTAGGTCCTTGCTCTTCATGACTTTGAGTACTTGTTGCCAGCCCCTTCTTGACTGTAAGATTTCTTTTGAGAAATCACTGATAGTTTTTTTTATTTTTTTATTTTTATTTAGTTATTTTTCAAGTACATTTTTTGTCTATTTCTCCCATCCCAGCCCCCCCCCCGCCCTATCTCCCCGCTCTCTCCCATTCCCTTCCCCCAGTCCTCATCCCTGTGTCTTTCATACTTGTTCCGCAAAATCCCTCCCCATTTTTCCCCTTAAATTCCCTTCTCTCTCCCCTCTGGTCACTGCCCCCTTGTTCTCTATTTCAGTGTCTTTGTTTTTATTCTGTTTGCTTGTTTGTTTTATTGTTTAGCTTCCTGTCAAAGGTGAGATCATATGGTATTTGTCCTTCAATGCCTGGCCTATTTCACTCAGCATAATGCTTTCCAGTTCCATCCATGTTGTTGCAAAGGGTAGTAGCTCCTTCTTCCTCTCTGCTGCATAGAATTCCATTGTGTATATGTACCACAATTTTTTGATCCATTCGTTTACTGATGGACACCTAGGTTGCTTCCAACTCTTGGCTATTGTAAATTGTGCTGCTATGAACATTGTGGTGCATAGGTTCTTTGAAATTGATGTTTTAGGATTCTTGGGGTATAATCCTAGCAGTGGAATTGCTGGGTCAAAAGGCAGGTCAATTTTT